GATAGCGGTGAGTGGGTCTCTCTAATGAGAGGCATTTATATGAAGCAAGGCAACATCAAGGAGAAGCTTACGGACTCCCCAACGTGGAAGAGGATCGCTAGGGTACATGTGACGGTGCTCACCCATTACAACGGCAATTCAAACCCCCCTCTTTGGCATGGGAAACCTTTCTCCTCTAAGAACATGCTTAAATCTCTTGGTGACGGCCTTCCTTCCAGGCTCTCTTGCAAATATATTTGGCATTCGGCACAAACCCCCAAGCTCAAAATCTTCCAATGGAAAGTGTTCATGGGTTGTCTTCCCTTTCCTGACCTGGCTACAAGATTCTCAGCCAGACTCCCCAGTAGGTGCCCTTTGTGCAAATCAAGTGCAGATACCTTGGATCACACCCTTGCCTCTTGTTCCGTCAGCAAGCAAGTCTGGAAGTATTTTGTAGCCCTCATTGATGCTCCAAAACCATCTGCAGAATTGCGACTTAATCAAATCTTCCTCACCTGGTGGTTCAATGCCGAAACATCCTCTTTTAAGGGCATCCTAAAACTTGTCCTGCCGGGAGTCATATCGTGGCACCTTTGGAAAGCAAGGAATCAAGCCTTATGTGACGGAACAATCCCGAATAAGGAAACAATCATTCAGAAATGCTTTTATCACATACAAGCTTGGAGTTGGGCCTCAAGACATAAGAGATGGCTGGTTAAAGATAGATGGTTCTCGGATTGGGGGTTGGATCTTTTTTGGGTTAATGGGAGTAGATTGCTAAATGTTGTTTGATTTTTCCTCCTGTATTGTACTTGGTCTTTCTTCATTACTTAATAAACATTTCTTTTAATATATATATATATACATATACATATACATACATACATACATACATACATGCATACATACATACATACATATATATATATATATATATATATATATATATATATCTTGGTTCAAATAAGAATATAATCTAATGAAAGAAATAAGAATGAATATCCACCCTAGGATCAAGCACCTGTGTTGGTCTCACTTACAAATCTTGAAAGGGTAAAGAAGTATTTTTTGATGAAATTCATTTCTCTTTCCGTCTGACCTGAAATCATCGCAGAAGAAAACAACCTATCCAGATCATCTTCCCACTTTCTCTTATAATTTTGCTCAGCCTATTTCCAAGTCTTTTTCTAGGTACGCAGGGTCTAATTTTTCAATTTCGTTATCCAATTTTCTTCATAGACGATTACTAACTGAATTCTCGGATCGATTTCTTCCTTTGCGTATTCATGTGTGTGCAATCGATGAATCGCATTAGCCCATTTTTCGTCTGGATTCATATTAGATGTATGAGTTTTGAATATATATTTTTTCTAATTTATCGATTCATGGGTTTTTTCCAAGCATTCTAGGGATTTTGATTTCTTGTCACATAAGAACTTATGTAGGTTTGTCGTTAAAGTTTCCATGTTTGATGTGTCTACTAGTAAGTTTTATAACTCATGCATATATTCTCGTAGTATATTTAAACACATGATAATGCATTCTGTGATTGAAATTGATGCCTACTGGGAGAATTCCATGTTTGACACCTTTTTATAGCTATTTGTATAGTTGGTTCTTTCATTCTGGTTTGTATATATATATATATCCATGGTAATGTATTGTGTATACTTGTGAGGTAATGCTTCTAGTCTGTCACACTTGTGAGGGAGAAGATTCTGGAAAAGATTATGCATTTAAATTGTTCCGTGGTGCATCAGAGTATGAGATAGAGACATCACTATGGATCAATTTTGTGAAATTTACATTAAATAGTACGGAGTACTAAAATATGTGTAAACATATGTTCACTATGTTTTAGCACTATATAAGTAAAATCCTCATCAATTTTTTAGGTTTAAGGTTGATGTTCATCTTTGATTTCTTAAATTTCAATATTCCTCTACGCCCTAGTATATAGAACAAATGCAAGATGAATTCGTGGAGGGATGAATTCTGTGTTAGTAATTTTGAGAGTGTATGAGTAAGTTATTTGATTGTATAATATGCAGATAATCCGTCCACCACACTGGAAGAATGGAGTTATGGTCCACATCCATTATTGATTCTAGAATCTCCTGATACTTTTGTACTAAAGGTAGGAATGTTGTTTAACAATTTGGAGGATGGTGTTCAATTTTATTGTGTGCATGCTGCTGCTGCGGGATTTGATGTTCGTAAGACTACATGATAGGAGGAATTGTCCTATGAACAAGGAGACCTAAACAAAAATACTTTATACTCATTCATATTTAAATAAAATGGTACCTGTTTTAATTGGTATCATATTCAATGTTGTTTGTACTTTATTTTTTGTTCTTATGACAATTTGTTTTTTATATGTGAATATTTGCTAGTTTCTTATCAATTTCGATGTTCTATGGAGCATTTTTGCTGAATAATGATCCATTATTATGTCCTGATATATCATCATGTTTGCTCTCTTTTTCCCTTTTGGAACACTCTTAAAAATTTCATCCTTTGAATAAATTCTTCATTATGTTGCAAAATTAAATGTGAGTTTGAATAAAATATAATGAAATTT